AGTGAGTAAACCAAGACAGGCAGATGGGAATCACATCTTCTCCTGAGCCTGTACATGTTTCTAGACCTGATCCAGACCAGGAATGCAGACACATTCATGAGATTTTCTTCCTTTTATCAATTTTGGCTGCGTTTGTACGTGCTTTTCCCTACACAGAGGGAGCAGCATTTATTAGATTTTTTTGAAATGTAATACCTAGACAAACTTATACATCCAGCTCAGAGTAGAAGGGAGCCCATGGCTGCTGGCAAACCTGGACTCAAAACTGCCCCAGCAAAGGTGGAACATGCCAAAGGGCCCTGCACAGACCTGGGAAGGCAGCAGACTGGTGGGGTGCACAGCTGGCAGCACACACAGCTCCGTTCAAGATACACAAGAAATTTTACAGTTTCCCTGAGGTTTGAATCAGTTACCAAACACAATCAAATTCACATAGCACTGGCATAAATCCTCACATCAAAAGGGAAAAGGGGTCTCTTTTGCCCTGTATTTAATAGAATAATTATGGTTATTGCATTTGCAGTAACTTCAGAAGGCCCCTATGCAGAACTCGAGCCCTGTAGCAGTGGATGTTGTTTGAATGATTAAACAGACCTGTTTCATATCTCAGAGGGCTCCTATCTTCATCCAATATTGACTGTGCTGTTCCTAGTCCTGTTACAGACCCTGGTAGAGGCTGCCACTCCTGTCTGTAGCTCTAATATCATCAGACAAACGTGGAAAAACCTGAAACTCAGAGCACAGGGAGATGAGTGAGCACAACTCTCTGTTTTACAGATGAGGAAAATAAGGGGAACAGAAGCAGCAAAACTACAACCACCAACAACCCTCTGAGCCAGGGCTGTGAACCTGACACTGTCCACACTGCTCCAGACACCTCCTCTAATGACTCCAGCAGGACACAGACTATACAGGAGTCCAGCTTCCCCCAACGGGAGTCTCGTGAGCACCGAGATTTCCTGATAAATCAAATCACTAGTTTAATGTTTTTCAAAAGGTTTTAATGCCACAAAAGGAAGTATCAGTTTGGGATCAACTAGTCCAGAAAACTGATGGATTGAGCAGAAGCCTTCCCCCATCCCACTACTCCTTCCTTTCCCTGGGGTGAGTCAACACCAACCCAAATGGCACTTTAGTGACAGAGGAGTGACAGGAGTGTGGCAGTTCCAGTGTGAGTGCCTGGAGAGAGCCCTGCACACACCTACCACGTGCTGGAGATGCTGAGCAGAGGCACCCACATCCCCAATCAGCATCACTGCACCCCCCCATGGCCTGTGCCCACGTGCCATTTGAGCCACGTGCAGGCAGTAGCAAAGGGATTCAAGGACCAGCACCAGGTTGTCCCTGCTCTGCCACATCAGTGACCCTCCCAGTGGGAGCAAATAAAGCACTTTGCCAATGGCTTTGCTCTTGGTGCTTACCCAGGGACTGCTCCTGCTCTCTGGAGTCACACTGACAGTGGGAAGCTCAGACCTGCTCACAAAGCAGCCCAATAATCAGCTCCCATCTCATGCTTTTCCAAAGATTTCTAGGGGCCAAGCACAAAATTAAGATTTAGAGCAAATCTTCAGAGCAAAACACATGTATTTGAGGGTGTTTGGCCTGGGGTTTCCTCAGCCAGCCCTTGTTAGAGCTGCTAACATAAAATCCATTTTCATTGCAAAATCAAGCCTCCACATGAGGATTTGCTCCTATGCCAACCCCTCACCCCACTCAAAAGCCTGTTACTGAGCAGGGCCCTGCTTTGCCCCCCAGCTGCCCCTCCATGGAGACAGCCACAGCTAGAGCTCACCACGCTGTCCAGCTGCTACCACAGCCACCCTGAGCAGCTGTGTAAGAGTTTGAGAACATGGAAGAAATCATACAAGTATCCAGGGAAAAAGTTAGAGGAGCAAACAGCTCTTAGTAACAGCAGTGCAGGATGGATGTGCCAGGGCCAGCTGGTGTGCCAGGTGCTGTTGCCTCCCAGGAGCCCCATGCTGGGAAGCACCACTAATCCAGTGGGTGCCAGTGCAAACCAGTGAAGCAAGCAAGGGGCCTGACAGGCATCTCCCACACACCTGTGTGCAACAGGAGACTTCTGGGAGAGGTTGGTGCTCCTTGCTTCCCACTGGCATAAATCAGGGCAGTTCCCTGCAGTCCACAGAGGTAAAGCAGGGAACTGAGAGGAAGAACAATCCCATCATATGCAAGCAATCAGCACAACGTTCAGCTGCTCGCAAAATAATCCAGAGTTGAGCTTCAGCACTTCCCAGCACCAGCCCCTTCCTCACACTGTGTTGTTTTGAGGTGCTGGGTTGATCTCGCTCTGTCTTTACCCTCCTTGAGCATCCCTGGGGAAGGGCAACCATCCAAACCCCAAACAAGCCAGGTAACATCTCGTTACTGCCAGCCTGACATATCTCAGATGCTGCCATGCACGATACCACCACGCAGATTCGTCTGCTAATACGCCATCCAACCCAAATAAACTTTGGCTTCACTTTGGAACTGATCTCCAAATCAAGGAGCTGTGCCGTTTCCCTGGGCAGCCGACCCTCCCGCAGGAATTTAACCCTCCCAGACTCGATGGTTTTGCCCAGGCAGCGTTGGAAATTTGCGCTTTCCGGAGCGATGTAAGGAGGAGTGGGATGGCTTTTCGTGTCACCGGTCCCGGGGTGAAACAACCTGCACGTCTCTCCCCCCCCAGCTGGCTCCCAGCCAGGCACGGGGGAACCGGCTGAACAAGCCCCGGCTCTCAAAATGCTGCTGCTTTAAACAGGCTCTCCACTGGCTGCAGCCAAAGCTACGCTATGCCGAACGTCACCGAGGAACAGAAATAGCCGGCACGAGTGGAGGGAGGGGAATGTGAGTATTAAGAGCGCACAGATTTCAAACATACTTGGCTGGGCAGCACACGCTCCCTTCCTGCCGCTGCCTCTCCAGCTGCGACGGAGCGCCGGGATCTCTCGCTGTGTGCCCAGGAAGAAGGATTCTCTTCTTTCTTTTTTCCCTTTTTCTTTCCTGAAGTTTCAGCTTTGATACTACTAGATTGATTTTTATTTTTTTTTCCTCGTAGGAAACTTCATCTGCTGGACTTAAAAGCAAGGTTTGAGCAGGAGGAATTAATTTCTGTTTACAGCTGTAAATGTGCATGGTACTCCTGTGTGGTGATATTGTAGAGGGAAAGGCTGGGAAAATTTCTTAGACCATAAGATGCTTGAATGGCTGCTTGGAATAACAAGCTCTCTATTGTGTGTGCATGTGTGTGAGCGTGTGTGTTTATGTACGAGTGCAGCAATGGCAGCAACTATGAAACAATGCAAGGTTTCCCCATTTGGCTGAATGTTCCTCCTCTAAGAGTGAGGACTTGCCTAGCTGTGGGCTCTGTGTGGAGAGGGGTGAAGGTCTGAATTGCATTAGCGCTGTAGGAATTTTATGAATGAAGCAAAAGGCAGGTTCAGCGGGAGAGGAGCAGAGCAGGGAGATGCAGGGGGCTCAGCTCTCTCCAGCAGGAGCTGTCACAGCAAGGAACTGCACAGACAGGCACCAGCATGGCACAAATGTGCTGCAAGTGCCCAGAACTCAGCAAGCAGACAGCACCTGAGCCATGGAAACATGCTCCTGAAAACGAGCTGTCACCAACACAGAGCCCATAGCTGCGCCTGTGACCAGCTCCAGGCTCAGCTGGAGCATCCCATGCAGAGCCATTTGTTTCTGACCGAGTGTGCTGGTGATCCTGTGGCAGAGGAGCAGGCAGAGCTCCTGGAGCATCCATGTCTCCATGCATGAGGCTTTTGCTGCCAGCACAGCTCGTACATGAACACTGATAAAGTGAATGAGTTGCTGCATGGACAGACTGGCTACACATCCCCAGCACCAAGCAGGAGGGGAGTGCACAGCACAGCAGGGGAGGGACGAGGCAGATTTGGGTTTGCAAGGTCCAAGAAAGCTGAGATGCTGGTGAAGCTGCTGGGGACCAGCCCAGAAGAGCCCTGTCCTGAAGGAGCACTGACCACTGCAGAACCACTCTTCATCTCTCCCCCTTGGATGTCTGTACTCAAGGGTCTGGAGTGGGAGATGGGCTCTGTGTATTTCTCCTTTTTTTGCAGCTCTATTCCAATTGTTAAGTGAGGAAAAACCTCCATCTGTACTGGGTTGTCCTTTTTTATACAGTTTTTGCATGACATCTCCATAGCTCCCATCATCCTCAGCAGGTGGTAACAGGGAGAAGGTGAGAGCAAGTCAAAGAGGATGAAAATTGTCCATCCTCAAGTGCCACAGAGGTCACTGTCAGGGTGACACAAGGGCAGCAGAGGAGGGCCTGGAACTGTCATCCTCCTGCCAAGGAGCTACTGAGGGGAAAGGCAAAGGAGTCAGAGCTGGTGTAGAGACAAAGGGACACAAAACTTACTGGGAAAAGCTGCAAATTCCCAGGATAAAAAGCAACCCAACCTGCCGAGTGGAATGAGGCAGAGGGAAGTCTTTGTATGTGGAGCCCTAGAGGGACAAGGCAGTCCAGCACTCCCTCCTCAGCATTTTCTATAAAAAAGAGACAATCTGAGCACCGTGCAAACACACTTGTGTGTCCAGTGATGCTTAGGATGGCACAAGCTTTTGGTATGCCTTAAAATCTGGGCATTGTAGCTACTTCAGCATTTCTTTCAGGTAGGTTTGATGTCCCTTTGCCTACACCCAGAGCAGTATGAATCCAAAGCAACACCGTCATGATTTGTACAGTGTTGAGCTTGATCTCACCAAGAGCTCCACGTACAAAGAGCAGCTGCCTGCCTAGCACAGTGCAGAGCAATCTCACACCTCCCTGCTCAAGGCTGTTTAGGCAGGTTCACAGACAGGTCTCTCTGAAATAGATCTGTGATAGAGAGCACGAAAAACCCTGTGTTTACAGCCATATAAAACCCACAGTGAAACCTACACCTTGCTTTATAGATAGAAAGTGCCTTTCTCTCCATCACTCAAATACCATTTGAAGCTGCAGGTCAGGACAGAGGAGGAGCTTCTCATTCAAGGGAAGTTGCTCTCTGAAAACACTTGCAGGAATGCTGGACAGGGCTTTGAGTGCATCACTAACACAGAACAGACAATTGGACTGCAAGTGGTAAATCCAAAGTTTGTTTTCCCTTTTTTGGGGATCTTTCACTTCTTTAGAGTTAAAAAATGTAGCAAAGAGGCTTAAGCAATCATACTCTCTAAGTCATTGTTAGGAATTTAGGAGGAATTTTCCTCCCAGCTCCAAGCTGAATTTAAGGATTGCAGTAAGCAGTTCCAGTGATACACACAACCTCTGAGATGTCACACCTCACAGCTGGGCTCTTATAATGATAGAATAAGCCTTACACAAGTGGCCTCAGTGCCAAAGACAGGTACAGGCAGGCAGTGCAGATATGTACTCAGGGGACAGGTGACTTCTAAGGGATCATTTGTGTTGCTCTGGCAGATTTCTAATATATTGGTTTTGATGTCTTTCCTCTAAGGAGAATGCAGATTGTCCTGAGATGGCACCCCACTAAGAAATGGTTTACCATCTCCCAGCAGTCGCATTTCTTGGAACAAGAAGAACCCCTTCAGATCCCTGTGGCATGAGAAAAGCCTCTGGCTTTTAAACCCAAGGAGGATGTCTCTAACTGACGAGCTGGAGAGCCACTTTTCTGGCACCCCCTACATGGTGACAGACACAAGTGAGGACAGCCTGTTCAGAATCCGGTCCAACACCTCTGGCAATGCCACCAGGGATGGGATGTCAGCCACCGGTTCCATGGAGGACATGATTGCCATCTGCACCATCGGGACAATCCTCTCCCTCATGTGTGTGATTGGGGTGACAGGCAACGTCTACACCTTGCTGGTGATGTGCCATTACCTGCGATCTTCTGCTTCCATGTACATTTACATCATCAACCTCGCGCTGGCGGACCTGCTCTACCTCCTCACCATCCCCTTCATCGTCGGGACCTACTTCATTCAAAAATGGTACTTCGGGGACATTGGCTGTCGCATCCTGTTCAGTCTGGACTTCCTCACCATGCATGCCAGCATCTTCACCCTCACAGTCATGAGCACAGAGCGCTACTTTGCTGTGCTGAAGCCCCTGGACACGGTGAAGAGGTCCAAGAGTTACCGCAAGGCCATCGCTGTTGTGATCTGGCTGGTGTCACTGCTGCTCACCCTCCCGATGCTCATCATGATCCAGCTGGTGCAAAGGGACAACAAAAGCATCTGCCTGCCCACCTGGAGCAAGCTGTCCTACAAAGTCTATCTCACCATCCTTTTTGGTACCAGCATCGTGGGCCCAGGGGTGATCATTGGCTACCTTTACATCCGATTGGCTAAAATATACTGGGTGTCACAAACAGCCTCCTTCAAACAGACCAAGAGGCTGCCCAACCAGAAGGTGCTCTATTTAATCTTCACCATAGTGCTGGTGTTCTGGGCTTGCTTCTTGCCCTTCTGGATATGGCAGCTCCTCTTCCAGTATTATGAATCCTTCCCTTTATCTCCCAAGGTGATGAAGAACATTAATTACTTGACAACCTGCCTGACCTACAGCAACAGCTGCATCAACCCCTTCCTCTACACCCTGCTCACCAAAAACTACCGGGAGTACCTGAAGAACAGGCAGAGGTCCCTCAGCAGCAACAGTGGGTACTTCCAGAGGAGGAATCGGTTTCAGAGGATTTCAGGGAGATCCCTGTCCACGAGCAGCCAGCACTGCACAGAGACATATGTCCTTGCTCACGCCCCTTTGGGAAACAGCAGTGCCTGAAGGTAAAAATCTATCTCCAAGAACAATCAATATCGATTCCAATGTTGCTTTGATTTAAAGTGTACACTGTAAAGGTGAGGCCTTGGCAGACCCATGATGTGCACACATTTAGTCCAGAGGCTGTGCCGTGTGTCTGTTCTCATTTTCTCCAGTGCCACTGATTTGATGCCAGCAGCATTCAGCTGAACAGCTATCTAAATAGCCTTTCACTTTTTATCTTCATATTTTATAGTGTATGTCTCCTCAAGTAGCCATCAGTAATGAAAGCCTATAACAGGGCCATGATTTTTAATGGTATCAGCTGTCTCACAGCAATTGAAATTATGTTATCCTATGAATGGCTGTATTTTCCCCTTTTTTTTTCTCTCTAGCAGTGATGCTAAATTTGTAGTTGTATGAAGACTGAAAACAATGAAATAAAGAGAAAACAGCTGATGTTTGTGACATACAACCCAGTTTGCATTTGGGGTAGGACTTGGACAACGTGGATGAGGCATATCCAGGAGTGCTTGTCCTGGTTTTGGTCATACTCACATTTATTCTGCACTCCTGTGTATGCACTGGGGATTCTCCATTCACTAAGGTGCCTGCAGTGGAGTTACACTACAGTTCATGCTAGCAAGACAGGCTTTCCATGGCAGTGCCACAGTCAGGGAACACTCAGCATCCCATAATATGCTGACCCAAACACATGAGCACCAGTGTGAGGCAGCACCATCTGCCCCAGACAAGGATATCCGCCCTCTGACCTCCTCCAAGGAGGAGTTGAGAATCTCTGATGCTGTTATTCTCAGAGCATTCACTGACAAGTCACAACATCCAGCCTGAGGCACCAGACCTACATCACCAATCCAGGAGGAAAGGACAGAGGGAGAGGAGGGAGGGTGAGGAGATGTGATTTCCAGTGGGCAAAGCTGTGCCCACTGGAGTGCCTGATATTCTCAGTTATAGAAGCGCTGGTTCCCTGTGAATGAGACAACTTGTTTCCTTCACAGGAGATGATTTTGTTTTTCTGCTACAAAAAGCAAATGCAGTCCTGCCTACACCAAGAACACGTTGCCTGTCCTGGCCTTCACCGATGATGAAGCATCATTAGTATAAATATATCATTCGTGATGTCTGGCACGACTCCAGTGAGTCTAAAAGTACCTTCCCTGGGATGCTGCCAGTGTCCATACAGGAGTCCTGTGCTTGCATCAGCCCTGCTACCTCATTAGCAAGGATACAGTGCTGCAATGCCAACACAACTCTGACCAAGGCACAGAATTAGAAGCAAATTAATGCTCAGGAGTGAACTCAGAACTGCGGCGTGGTGCCATTTGGCAGGGAGCTCTGCTGAGACCGAAACTGGAGTTAGGCTTTAACCAGCTCTTCCCCTTCAAGGCATTTAAATGGCCACTGCTCACTGGGCCAGGGAAAGCTCTGTGTCCAGCCTCCCTGGGGAATACGCTTGGAAAAGTGACTGTTCTGTCATGTGTGAGCTCAAAGTTTGTTATGAATGGGGAAGATGCCACGTCACCAGAGAGGATTCTTGTGCAAGCAGCTTTGACACTGAGCTGCTGCAGAAACTGGAAGACTCTTGCTGTGTTCCCAACCTCCTCCATTCACACCATCCACAATGGTCCTGTGGGTAGGGCACCTTACCCACACCCTGCTTGTGTGCCAGCAAATCCTACTTCAGGATTAGCCCCTTCCTGATTTCAGAGGGGCAGAAATACCATTATATTTGACTATTTCCTACGCTGACAGTACTTGTTAGTTTTCAGACTAGTTTCAGACTTAGTTTCCCCAGGTTAGAGGCACATTAGTCAAATAAAGCATCTTTTACCCCACTGTAAGGAAGGGGGAGCCCATGGACTGAGGTGAAAACACTTGCTACAAAATCATAAAGGCTGGAAAAGACCTCTAAGATCGAGTCCAACTCTGCCACATCCACACATGTTTTGAACACTTCCAGGGATGGTGATTCCACCACTTCCTTGGGGAGCCTGTTCCAAAGTTTGACCATCCTTTCAGTGAAAATTTTCTTCCTATTATCTAATCTAAATTCTCAAACCTATTTTCCACTTCTATAGCCAGGTGTTTATCATGAGTAAAGTTTAGCCTCCTTTTTTTTTTTTACCTTTTTAATTAGCAATTTAAACTTCTCCTTGCTCAGGAAGAACCAGACAAGCTCAAGACAAGCTCAGGACGAGCAGTTTCCATGGCTGTGGATGAAAGCTACTGTGGGCTGTACTTTAGAAAGCGCAGTCCATCTTTTCTAAGATCAGACAGTCAAAATGAAAGGGTGGTTTGCAAATCTCAGCTGACTGAGATGTTACACACCAAAGCAGACACTGCAGAAGCTACTAAAGGCACAGGAGAAGATCTCAGTCTGACCCCTTCACCCTCAGCAGCTCTGCTCTGATTCACTTCTCCAAACCACCCCCAGCCAACCCATCTCACAGAAAATAGTTGCAGAACACCTGCCATGGCTCTGTCGGGGCAGGGAGCACCCTGAAGGCACCATGAGCAGTGTGCTGGGGGTGTGAGGCCATGCCAGAGGTCCCACCATGCCAGGGAGGGGAGCTGGGGCTCCCTGCTCTCCTGGGAGGACACACAGCCTCAGCTCTGGGCTGCACAGTCTTGTTTCTCATTTGAAGCTTGTGCTGTCTCTCAGCAAGGGCTTGCAGTGTGTTTGTCAAATCAGCACAACAAAGCCAAGAGAAAGGGCACCCACAAGTCAGGGCATGGCTGTGGGTGATGTTTCCATTAATACAGGGTCATCTTCAAACAGTGAGATGTTTCATTCAAGTCTTTCCATTTCCACCCCAGGCTGGAGTTGTTTTTTGCTCCTTCAAACACTCTCATGCATCATCGCTGAGCTCAGATAGCAATAAGGGAATACTACTCCAAGCCTGCAGGTAAAAGCAAGGCTCTGAGCACTTCCCAAGCAGCACGAGTCCCAGCTCTGCATCCCAAACTAACTTTATGGGGCATCAGCCACACTCAGATACCAAACATCAGAGAGCTGCTCTCTGCCTGAAACCAAACAACAAATGAACCACGAGAGCCTGCTGAATATAAAGGGGGGAACCAGAGCAGCCAGTGAGAGATGAAGAAGGAACTGCCTCCTCCAAGACATAGATTGTGTGTTCAATGATAGCTATAAAATTATTATGCCCTATTTATTCCTCCTCCTTGTAGAAACCCATCATCAGTCAAAGACCCAAGAGCAGACTTTTGCATAAATAAAATTTGAAATTGGTGTGAAAGGGAAGGGTGTGAACATGTGGCCATGTGCTTGCACACCTCAGACCTGCACCCTATTTCCTAGTTCTTTCTTCTCTGTGGGCTGAGACCAGGGGCTTTCTCATCATCCTGAAGCTTTAAGTCCCCTGTCTCCAGGGTATTTGGTGCCCCAGACTGGAATCACCAGCTGAACTGCAGGTAACAGAAGTTAAAACACCAATTTTTGGGCTAATTTAAGACAGAGAGCATTTACCAATGTCTCAATACTCAAAGAAAGTACAGCTGTAACTACACCAGGGTGTCCAAAAGAGGGGCAGGGCAAAGATTCTGGCCCCAGCAGTGCTCCTACCCGCTCAGAAAGGCCAGGTACCCACTCTGGTGGCTGAAACAGGCAGCAAACTACAGCTGGGGCCAGGCAATGTTTTCAGCTGGATATTGGCTTTGCCAGAAAAGGATGATGTCTATGTTTACCCAAACTATTTGCAAATCCACCCAGGAATTTAAGAATCCTTCTGGAAATTCTCTTATTTTTTCTTTTTCCAAATACTGAATTGCCTCATTTCAGCCTTTAGGAGGCAAAACAGCACAATTTGTCAAGTTTTACTCATCAGTTTGCTGACACTTAATTTTAAAAAGCCTTTTTCCATTTTGTTCAAACCACAGGACTCTTAAAAAAGTCCCGTGGTCCAAGTAGCACAGCAGAGAGCAGCTGATCACCACACTGTGCATCCTCTGTCCAGGACAGGGTGGGTACCCACACTGGGGAGTGGTGCAGCACCCACCCCTGCCCAATTCCCATGTGCCAGGTCACAGCAATCACAGCCACAGACCTTCCTCCTCTCCTGCTGATGGAGTCTGATTTAAGCTGCTCAACAACCCCATGTCCAGTTTGAGCCCCCTCCTTGTTCCTGGTGGGTGCAGGGGCACAAGGGGAGGTGGCTTTGGGCCACCCCTTTCTCTTGTGTGGGTGTCCCACCTTGCTCCCTGTGAGACAATCAGTCCAGGAGCTCTTCAGCTGCCTCTAACCAGGCAGAAAAACCTTGGCACGTGCTCCCAGAGAGGATCCAGGCAATAAATACATCCACATGCACAGTTTTGGTTCACTTACAGCTCCAGATGGGCAAGGCTGGCTGGGTGAGGAGATGGGATTTAAGGAACACTTTAGCTGGGCAGAAAGAGCAAAACTGGTTTATGCCAGCCCAGCCACTTCTGCTCTAAAAATTGAGACATTTTTCTCAGTTTATCACCTCTCCTACTGCTGAAGTACATCACAGACTGTCACAAGCTATGACCAAAGCTCCTTCACTTCACTTAGTGTGTGCTCCAAGCAGCTGTCAATCAAAAGTGCTACAGGTAGGAAAACTATGGGGTAAAAAGCCCATAAACCCAACACATGTGTGACTCCCACAAGACTCCTCAAGCAGCTTTAGTGCCAAACTGCAGCTGCTGGCTAAATGCTGTAAACATTTCAAGAGAAAGTTTAGCTCAATTTTACTCTGCTTTCTAGGAACAAACACCCCATCAACATCCTTAGAGATGAGGGAATCCACCAGTCAAAATGTCAGTGTTCTGTTTGCACACTGAAGTCTTGCAACTAATTCTAGTCTTCCCAAATGTTTATCACCTGTAAAGCCATCTGTCTGCCGGGAAAGCACATGTTTTTGCCAAAAGAGAAAGTACAAATATCATAAATTTAGTTTCAAAGATCAAACCACTCAAGCGTGCATAATTTAAACTGTTATTAGGTTTAATTACATGTCAAGTAGCTGCTGTTACTAGTTTAAAGCTGTCTACAAAGATGGTAATATAGCACAATAAGAGCAAATATAAGACAAAAATCAGTGAAATAACCTGCCTCAATGATAGAGTGAAATATCCACTGGCACAGGACCAGACAGGACAGGATTTACCACAGCAGCTCTGACTGTTACTACTGTCCCTGGCCAATTCTGGCATCACCCATTTCACAAACATCCTGGAACTTCCATAGCAGAGTTAATTCTTTGGCACCAACTGCAGTTCCAGCCACAAAACAACCAAGACCTGTTTGTTTGCCAAAGGCAGCACAAGGGGTGCTCCCACCGATGGACAGGTCCTCAAAATAAATTAATCCTTGTGGAAAACAAAGGCAAATGCCAGGAGTGAAGTGTGGTAAGGTAATTCTTTGAGCCCTATGGATGTGAGGATCAAGTATCACGACAGAGATTTCTAATTCTTAAT